TATCTATCTATCTATCTATCTATCTATCTATCTATCTATCTATCTATCTATCTATCTATCTATCTATCTATCTATCTATCTATCTATCTATCTATCTAATAATAAGCTATAATACTTTGCAGCTTGTAACATTTGGTGTGATGTATGTGTAATTCATTAATATTAGTTTATATTCCCCCAATTCTATTTTTGACATTTTGGGGATTTTTTGGATTCAGTTGTTTACATATTACTTGGTTGGTTTTGGTAATTAAAGTCACATCAAAATGAAAGAGAAGCTACTTTTGGTCACTCCCAAAATCTGTTAAACATAAATTATATTCTATGTTGCAAGCGAGAGTGAAATACTTGAGAAGAACCTGCTCTTTGACAATAGAGGGCACTGTTCATATAAGAAAAAGACAGAACAGGAAAACACACACAGCTGTAAAAGTGAAGGAGCTTCACTTTGCCATGCTGTGTTGCACATAAAGCCATGAAGAGTTCCATTGCTAGTTATTGAGCACCACTGCTTCATCAAGCTTTTCAATAGATCTTACTAGATCTGTCCTCTCATGTTCATTAGACTGCAGGCAGCCCCAAAAATACTAGCAAACCACCAAAATTAAGCAGGAAGTTGGACATAAATGTGGAGTTGAGTTGTCTTACTTTGTTTACCTAAATGTGCATTAATTTGTCCGTAAAAAGCTGTTGCCCCCGTCACCTCTGTGTTTGTCAGCCAGTATTTTTGTTCAGCTGCAGGAGGACAGCCCTCAGCTATTATTACAGTTAGCTCCTTGGCTGTGGGTCAAAGGAGGTGACAGGTTGAGACTAGGGTGGGACCACTCTGTTAAACAAAACATGGAAGAATTTTAGCACCATCTCATTTTCTCAGTGACCAGCAAAACAGGAAATTTGTACCTGAGATGCATTACAGTGTAGTCACTACAAGTAAACAAGAAGTGTACCATTCAGTTCCATTACTGGGATTTCTGATATCATCTTGTGCCTTTCTGTTTTGCCATTATGCAAAAGGCCATACAAAGTCTACAGAACCTTTATTGAAAATCACGTTTTAAAACCCACACTTCTCTCATCATGTTAAAAAAAGGTATGTTTGTGGTTTAGAGATGAAAAAAAAATCAGAAGTATTTGTTTTCAGGATCTTGCTTACGGGCAGCCCCTTGCTGCTTCCCTTTTTTATTTCTCATCCATAGTGTTAGAGGACGTTGGTGCAGGTTGGTGCGATGTGATAAAAGAACTGCATTATACAGGGAATGACAAAGCATTTTGTAGGGAGGCTTTTTATGCAATAGATGTGAACTGTCATTGAACACATGCATGCTTGACCAATAGTATGTGTCTGCAAATTATAATGGATAAATTTATCATATAAGGATAGCTAGGATGAGCAGCGTGATAGTCAGAATTTTATTTAATTTGTATTTAAGACATTAAATAAATGTACATTACACAATGAGACAATTATAAGAATCTCTAAAACGAGAAACAATTTTAGCCACATTATAAAAAGTTACAAGTTACCAATCCTCAGTCTGGTTATCAACTCATCCTGAGTTCCTTCTTGAATGTGCATGATTTCGAAAACATTTATTGTGTAAAAAAAACCTACAAAAACCCAAAACGGCTTGCTGTAATTTGCCTGCTTATATAACAGTATTCAAATACATTCCGGATGAAACAGGATAGCAGGACATGAACCGCGCTGTAATATACAGCCCAACTTTCCAGCCAAGTGTTGTGACTCCTATTTTTTCACAAGTTTAGTTGAATTTTCTTTCCAAGACTTTTAAACTGTTGTCATTATCAGCCATTTGAGTTACAAAATGTTTTCCGAAACAGTCCTTGACTCAACTTTTTAATCACAGTATTATGAAACAGAAAACATCATAACAATAATTTATTGGACTTAAGACAGATGACAACCCTAGCACAACCTACAGTATGGTTTGGGTAAAGGAGTGTTTGCAAAGACCTGCGAAAACACTTAAATTCTATTATATAATTTTACACATTTATCTTGTAGAAAAACTGAGACGTGAACACTGAACACTGACAGGAAGTGCAGTTTCACTCTTCCAGCCTGCAACAGAAGTAGGCTGAATGCAGCCCTCAAGCTAAAATGAGTTTGCCATCCCTGGCTTAGAGGGTTATTCCTGTTGGTCAACTACTTTCTTCTTCAGTTTATAGAGCATAGCACAGAGCTTGTGTGATTTGACTGTCTCTGAGTAACCACTGAAGGCATGATGCTTATGGTCAGTGTTTTCACAGAACTCAAGCTGTTTTTTTGTTTTTAACCACGAGATTCATTTTCCCACCCGAGACGTATTTACCTGTTCTCCCCTATGTCTGATTCATCTTTGGCTTCTCATTGTCTCTCAAGTTTCAGTTCACGAAAAAGTGATGGACTCAACGTGATCAACATGCTTTTTCAGAGGAGATTAGATAAAGAGGAGCTAACTGTGAACAGGAGATGGTGATACGGCCGACTCTCTGTGGTTTCTCTTCAGGCAAGTGGCTGGGACTGAAACATGTAGGTGAGGAAAGGAAAGAAGAGGAGGATGTGAGAACTTCCTCAAACTGTTTGCAGTTTCGCTCTTTTGGACACGGTGGTCGTCGCTGGTCAAAATAGAGAAGCTGCTGTTCTGCATTTCATCTGACAAGAAATGACTGTTTACCTGAACTGGCATGATTATATGAGATGTAGCCCACAGCACATACGGTGGACTGAAGCATAGTAAGTAATGTTTATAGTCACATTTTGCTCATTTCTTTATAATCCAGCAATCTTAAGTGCGAGTTATCCCACACAGCGCATTGTACAACATTTTTTCATGTAGTATTTCTATTTTCAGTGAGACTTCTGCAACGAGGAGAAACAATGCTTTATTCTGAGTCATACAGACATATGAAGCCTTTGTCTGGGACACCCACTGTGTCCGTCACTGCTGTTTGATCACAACCTAAAAGAGAGAAGGGGAGAGGTGTTTTCTCTTCCTCTTCCTCTGCTTTGAAAGAGAAGCAGGAGGAGAGAGGCAAGCTTTCTGAAACTCGCAGCAATCATTTCTCGCTCGGTATGTGCGAGACGGAGAGAATCGAAATTTAGCATCTAGGCTCATATGCTTTAAAGACATTTGCAGCGATGTTTATAAGGCATTTAGTGAGAAAAAGCATCAAGTTTGTGTATTCAAGCTTTTATTTCAGTATTTATTCATCAGAATCATATTCAGATCACCAACATTGCAATAAAACACAGAAATATCTCCAAAAAAGAGCATGTGCATAAAAAACAATCGAGACATAGAATGTAAAAAAACAAAATCATTTTAGCTTTTTTTTTTCAATTGTGTCTGTCAAAAACATTTTTCATCCAGTTTTTTGCTGACTTTTAGAACAATATCACACAAACAAGAGTAGAGCATGTACAATGGTGTGATCAGTAACACTTAAAATTTTAATATCACAGATTAGATTCTGAGTCAAACCAGAGTTACATATTTAAGCAACATTTCAAAATGATTTGTAAAAAACTAAAACATTAAATATCTGTTTGCATTTTATTTACATCGCACGTTTCCAGCCAAAGCTTCTGTCAGTCACTATTAATGATAATTTGATATGTTTTTTACATGCAATATTCTTCACAGCTTGTATTTATTCTTGATTTTTTTGCTCTGGTAATAAACAACAAGTTCATTCACTGCTACTCACCACCCTTCCCTAATCAGAGATGTTTGGAAGCATGCATATTGTCGTTGCCCTCCAAAACAACCACTTAGTTTTAAACAAGAAACAATGCTACACATTTAATTATCTTCTGAGTCTTTGACTCACTTTTCTTCATGTTTGTCTTCTTCACCGTTTGACCCGTAAACTCTTTGAGCAATGCGCTCGTATTTGTTTGTCTCTTCCACATCAATGGCCTTGTGAAAGTTATCCAACTTTTCTTTTCTTTGTTTTGGTTCATCTAGCTCTAGCTGATGTGCTTCTTCTTCTTCTGAGTCATATTCATATGACTGTCTACAGACCATTTTTTGGCGGCACACCTGCTCACCTAATTCTGCATCTGATTCATAGGATGTCTCGGACTCCAATAGCTGCACCTTGTTACCTCTGGGAACTTTAGATTGACCTTCTGCTACTGACTCCCTCTCAAACGTCTCATCCTCTAAACTTTCCTGGTACTTCTGCTGTTTCTGTCTCTTGCCTTCCCTCGGTTCACCAGGGGATCCCTGCCTTCTTTCCTCCAGCTCAGGGATGTACTGAGCACCTGCTTCCTCGTGGTGGTCTACTTCAGGGCTGTACTGGCTCCTTCTGTACAAACTCTCCTCATCCTCCTCCTCCTGACAGGAGCTTCCCGGGACGCTCTCACCATCAGACTGGGAGAGACGGAGGCTGGGCAGACCCGGGGGTTTCTGGGAGAGGTCAAACGGTTCCTCTTGGCTGAAGTGGGTGAGGAGGTCCATCGGGGTGGTCAGACAGAAACGCCCTCTTTGCCTAAATACTGAAATCACAGGGAGAAAAAAAAGTTACATTTCACAACAAATTTTACTAAAATACATAAACAATATACATCATCAGCAGTGTGTGCACACTTACGTCTCTCATCCAGGCCTCTGTCCATGACACCATGTTTAACCTTCATGTGTCTGGTGAGGTTCCCCTTCAGTGTGAACTTGCTCTGGCAGTATAGGCATTTGAAGGGTTTGCTGTCTGAGTGGAGATGCATGTGGCCCATTAGGTTGTGCATCCTGTTGAATTCTTTCCCACAAAGCTGAAAGAGAAGAGAGAGAATACATGTCCAGATATTAGGAACTCATTAAGACCTTGGGTTTAATTTGACACATTATTAACAGTGATGCATAGGCTATGCATCCTGAATCATTCGCAGGGTTTCTCAGGTAAGTACATTTTAATCTCTTGCTTTTATTTCAAGTCATTAAAAAAAAAAAAGAATATTATGTTAACAACCCATCCAGTTGCCAATTTTCTGGCTTGAAAAGTGAAAAGGCCAAGATATTTTTGTATTAAAATTTACATTTTATCAATACAATGTAAAATTCTGAATTCGAATTTTTGCTACAATTTGAATAATATAAACACACACAAGCATTAATACCTTACAAACCTTATAAACTATCTGCAATAAAAATAATATTTTAAGCTCATTTGTAACAGCTGCAGTGGTCAGATGAATGGAGTGATTAAAAACAAAGCATATTTCTCTGATTCAAATTCAAAGTGTAAGAATCGAGTATTAAAGGTGATACTCTAGCTTTTCATCAGTGGCTGTAGTAAACACTGTGTCCACATCCAACAATAACAGGCAAGCCCTAATTACCTGTTATTTTTCTCTCTACCAGATCTCCTTTGTTAGATGACTAATTTTCTCAGATGCTGAGTTGCAGAGTTTACACGTAATCATGAATGAATGCGAAGTCTTTCATACATGCATACATACACACATTCTTTCTCCCTCCTTCTATAGTTATTTTCCTCATTTCCTCTCTGTCTTCCCCCCTCACACACAAGCAAGGACACACACACACAAGAAAAACAGAAAGAAAAAGACAGAGAGAGAGAGAGAGGAAGCAACACTGAGACATGGCCAGGAGGAGAACAGGGAAGGGCAACTCCTGTGCTGTCCTTCCTCTGCATTCTTTTTTATTAGGGTGGTCCTTTCCTTCAGGAGGAGAGAGGGACTGTAAACTGTCCAAGAGGACCGTGAGAAAACAGGAAGCTGCCTCCAGCAGCAGAGAAAGCGAGAAGAAATCTATTTGCGGGGCTTGTTCTCCGGGGAGGCCAGCGGGCCATTGTTAGAGAGGCAGTTTGTGCGGCGATATCCTTCCTATGGACAAGGAGGCTCCCACTCCCATAAGCCTCTCTGCTATCTGGTCATCGTCTCAGTCCTCAAGTTGTACCAAAAACCAAGGTCAAAACAGACAAATTCTTTAACAGCAGCTGCCACTACAAATTACAAGCCTAGTTCCTGGCTGTGATTATCAAGACTTGGTTTGTGTAGCTTGCAAAAAGGGAGACACTTGCATTTTAGATGCCTTTATTTACTCCTTATAGTAAAATAACTGAGTATTAAAGGCATAAAATGAAACTGAAATAGCAACCAGACCTGTAGCTAACAATGACCTGCTGCTTCTCATCTTACTATAGTTCGTGCCTTCTACTGATTACCAGAAAGTATGTATTTGCTTCATATGTAAATAAATATATATGTTTTACAGCTTGCATTTTTCTAACAGCTGTTTTATGTTTTTAAGGCCCATTTATGATGTCATGATTTGTGTATTGCTGTAAATGTGATAATAAAATAACATTTTGTGCATTACACACGTGTCAAGCTCATTAACTTAGCTTAGCAAGAAGAGTGGAAATAGCTATCCTCACTCTGCCCCCCAAAAATGTTCCACATCAAGCCCTTTGCTACATGGGATTACATTTCAGTGTGATAAGATAAATATTAAACTTTATAAGTCACAGTAGATGGATTTTACTGCTTTCAGACATACCTGGCAAACTGTTTTGCTTCATTTTCTCTTTTTGTTGGAGGCTTAAACTGTGGTTTAGTGGTTGCTAACAGCAATTTCATAATGATATCCTACAAATGTGATGTTACACTTTTACCAGTTTGCCCTTTAGAGGAACACTGCTGGAAACTAGCTCAGTCATATGGTGTAGAAACACTGTGGCTCGATTTTGTTGTGATAGGGCAGGAAAGGGCTAGTTTTTTGTCATACTGATAATCCTGTCTTCACTTGGGTTGCCAGTTCTGTGGTTTTCCTGCTGAGGGGAGTGACTTTTTTCTGTGCAATTTACAGACTGTGGGTAATTTTTCTATACTTCAGGAAAAAATAAGAGTATCTCTATAATTAAAAAATCTCATTTAAATGAAATAATTGATTCCGACTTCATGGACGCACATATGGACACAAAATGTGCCATACTGACCTCCAACACCTCCAGTTACTAACTGAATACAGAGCAGGTTTTGACAGGCCAGGGAGATGTCATGTCATGTAAGTTAAATTACAAATTTATATTCTTCTTCTCCTATGGACTTTGTCACTCCATAATGAGATCACCTGACAGCGCAGACATGAGTCATACTTACTGAGGCCACTAACGTGCTTTGTCATTCGAACACGTGAACCTTTGGGAAATTTGCTGTACAGAAGGCCAAAAGAAAGAGCCACATCTCACATGCCAAACTCGACCAACCTTGCATTTATAGGGCTTGATGTCCGAGTGGACGATCATGTGAGCCTTTAGAGTCTGTTTCTGGACGAAACTCTTAAAGCACATGTGGCACTGGTAGGCCCGAATGTTGGTGTGGATGAGGACGTGACGCTTCATGTTGGCCAACAGGGTGAATTCACGACCACAGATGCGACACTTGTGCTCCTTCACCCCCTGAAGAACAAGATAACGTGGAAGTAGTGGTGTGAGAAAGACGAGTCATTCTTCTGGTTTGCTTTAGAGAGGCCAGATCGTCCCCTGATAACAAATATGCCAGGCAGTGCCAGTGGAAATGCATTTACATTTATTTACGAAATATAAAATATCTATTTGATGAAACTATCGCTGCTACAGTTGTAAATATAATGGTATAAACAATAAGTTGTGCATTTTAGAGCTTGGGCATGCTAATACAGGACGTGTATGAAGGTGGTTTATCTAAACTCTAATGCTACTAAAGAATAAAAACTGGATGTTAAGCAGTTAAAAGTAGCTTCAGTCAAAATTCAAGAGGAAACTGCTTCATGGCTGACATTTTTACTATCCGAAATGTAAACTGGGCAAGCTGATAATTCTTGGATGCCATTAAAAAACAAGAGAGAAAAAAAACTTTCAAATTTCATTTTTTAATCCTCATAAACCACCTACTTTATGAGTGAGCGTGTGCTGTTTCAGGTGGTGCGACTGGATGAACTCCATCCCACACTCACTGCAGATATACGGTCTGATGTCTTTGTGTTTCATCATGTGGTTCTGAAGCTGACTGGGATACTGGAAAGTCTTCTGGCACTCTGTACACCTGCACACACAGCAACCAACATTTGCAGTTAGCCTGCTGGAATGTCTCAACAATGTGGGAAATGCACATATAAAAATACACTTTGTGCCAGGAGTTCCACGAATAATTAATATTGCGCAGAAAATCTGAGGCCATAGCCAGCAAGAGGTTAGCCTCATTTAAAATTAAAAAAAAAAAAAAATCGATTTCTTGGAAAGAATTAGTGGATGTCCTCAATGGGTGGAGCTTGAGCTGCTGTGCTAAGCCAACTAACTGCTTACTTTAAACAATAACAAGAATATGAACATAAGAATATGAAAGGAAGGAAATGAGCTCACCTGTACAATGTGGGACCTCGGTGGACGGTCAGGTGCCTCTTTAGCTGTGCCAGTGTGGGGAAGTCTAGACCACACTCCACACATACATTCTCTTGACCTTTTTCATGCTTCAGCTCGTGGGCTCGAAGCTCGCTGGGATAAGCGAAACCTCGACCGCACACACTGCAGCTGGAGGTGCAGAAAAAGTGTGAATGAGCAGGAAATCTAGGCATTAAACAGCAGAAACTCTATGTAATATATTGGAATGAGTGGAAATGAAAGTAAAACTGGTGTAAAGCTGGTAAAAAGTAGATTATAAGCCTAATTCTACACAGGAGGCCACTCCACAGGCTGACAAATAGTCCAACTGTATGGAAGTCTAAGGGGAAGGGAACTCAACTGCTAAGGTGATTTGGGTTAGCTTGCGATCGACATCTGTTTGGTTTCACCCCTTATTCATTACCTCCAGCTTCAGAACACCAAGATGGTGACTGCCAAGATACTCAACATCACGATGGCTACCTCTACCTCTTTGACATATTGTATGTAAAAATAATTTACCTGTATGGCTTCACGTCACTGTGCTGCATCATGTGTCTCTTCAGGTGGCTGGTCTGGGTGAAGGCCTTGTGGCACACCTGGCACTTGTGGGGCCTCATTCCCTGGTGTGTGAGTAGGTGTGTATGCAGGTGGCTCAGCTGCTTAAATAGCTTCCCACACAGGTGACATCCGTGTGGTTTGATGCCGTTGTGACCCAGGATGTGTGTGACCAGGTTATACTTGGATGTGTAGGACTTCTCACACATTCGACACTTCCATCTCTTCTGGTCTCCGCCAACGTCCACATAGTAGCTGTCATCTACGTGAACATTGAGACCGAGCTTCTCAGCGCTGCTCGTACCACTTCGAGGAGCTCCTTCACGGGCGCTATGACTGGGGCGGAGGTCCTCTCTGGGGTAGAAACCACCATGGGGGTGGTGCATGATAGGGCCAGGCATAAAGAAGGGGTAAGGGAGAAGGCTGTGGTGGAGAGGTGGGAAGTAGGGCGGGTGAAGAAGCAGAGGAGAGGGTGGCCAGATGGGGGAAGGACTGAGTGGCTCCTGTTTTACCTGCACAGGAAAATTCACATCTGGAGGTCTGTGTTGAAGCTGCAGGCTGTTGAGCTCGATCATGCCAGGGATGGGTTTTGGAGATGGAGACGGAAACGGACGAGGTGGGAGGGAAAAGGGAATGTGTGGCAGGTCCACTGTCTTCTTACTGCGGCTTTCTTCTGCCTCTTCTGCCTCCTTCTCAGGAGATTCACCTCCCTCATGGCCATCTACTTTTAAGGGAGTCCTTTTGCGTTTTTGGGATCCTTCTTTGAGGGTGTAACTGGGGCCAAGCATGGGAAAGAAAAGAGGTGGACTAAAAGCACTGTAGGCATCTCTGGTGGGTGATATGCTGGGATATCTAGCTGGAGAAAATTTGGGGGGCTGAATAAAGAGCGGAGCTGGGCTTAGGTAGAAACTGCGCTGAGATGTTTGTCTTAGCTCTTCTCGGAGGGGAGGACTTCTTCGCGGTGAGATGCTTACTCTATCTTTTTCCATCTTCTTTCTGCATGAAAAAGGAAAAGAAGTTGTTAAATATCTCCAGTAACAACAGGGAAGAAAGTATTTAATCAAATCTTTTACTAGAGGGAGTCTGTTAAAACTACTTGTGAGCTTACAAAGCTCACTTGATGATGCAGAAGGCAAGCAAGACATGACATAAAAATAAAGGGCTTTTTAGTTCTTCATATAAAATGTGGATCTTTGAAGTTTTCCTTTTAACTTTTGAGTGAGCCTGACAGTTTCATCATAATCACACAGAAAAACTGAAGCATCAAAAGCTATCCCAATACTTTATCCAGTATAAAATGAATTTTCTTTCAGGAATTTACAAGAGTAAAAGTCAGGAATTGACTGGTTTAAAGAAGAGTAACAGTAACACGAAGCAAGTCCTGAAACCAGAACCAACTTCGAGTGATTACATGTATTTTCTTCTGCTGCCTTCAAATAATGTGCATTTAGACTTGCATCTGTTCTGCCCTCGCTATATCTTAGAAACTAACACGAACAACCAGTACTAATATCAATGTCGCCAACCACAGTAGAATGCAAGTCAGCAACATTGGTGTGACATCAGTGATACTTGTAACATTTACAATTGCAGGCACTATGTCTGTCTGTGGTGATGACAAGGGTGATGAGAAAATAGAAATATTTGACTAAACTACATTTAAAATGACAATATTAGTCCAACTACTGACAGAAAGAAAGTGTCAGTTTGTTTGTGCAATACATGTGTCATGCATTATATCATACACATACATTTTTTATATATTTCACTTCTGGTCCTTTTAAATAAATATATTAATATGTTCTTCACATGATCCTTTTGTGTTATTATTGGTAGGATCTATTAATATCTGTGATGTCTATTAATGTATGTCAGGTTAGAAATTGTTCTGTCATCGTATCGTCTGTGCATTTGAGTTAAATGTACTTTTAACTCAGTTCACAGAATCAAAATCTAGTTGGTTCTGGAATAGTCGCCAATGTTGCTGGGAAAATCAAAAGAGATGTTTGCCTTGAATGCACAGATTGCCTGATATCAAAATAAATTTGAAAGTGCAAAGGCTGAACATTTTTAGTTAGTAAGGTGATTACTTTGAAGATTGCTTCTGTTTGAGATTTACCCAGTTAGTATGATGTATTTTTTCAGTGTTACATTTTCCACCCTCTTCTGTTACTATTTCCCCCATCAAGGGCTCAGTTGTAAAACTCTGGTTTCTTGCATTAAAATAGGTATTTTAGCCCTGTTCCCATTATTGACAAGATATCAGTTGTACTATTAGTTGGTGCACATTTGTGTTTTGTTTATCAGGAGATGACAAGTGTATTTCAATTAGCCTGTGAGGAAAATGTTTTTAAAAAATATATTACATTTGTCCCCAGTATCCACTAGTTTTGAATGTTTCACACATTAACACGTATTTAATGGGACTCTTTATACACTCTTTATAAGAATGACACAATCAGAAATAACTGCTACTGACTACACAAAAACGCATCCATCTTATCATGCTTTCTTGACATTGATGGGGGAAAACATCATAAAGGTGAAGAAAGGATTTAGCAAAAAACAACGTGGTGCAAAAACAAGCTGGTTAAACCTCAGAAATCTCAAGCAGGAACTCATATCTATGAGGGGCATTGCCATTTTGCAAAATAATACACTGTGAATGACTGGTTTGAAAATCAGTAATATACTTTCCATCATATGCATTTATTTTAATTCTTAATTTGAAAAATAGCAAGTAGCTGTCAAATAAAATCTATACAAATAAGGAAGTAAATAAACTATAAATACCTCACATTTGCTTTCACGTTCAGTTCTTGCATGTGTTTACTTTCCACCACTGCTTACATATATTTCCAGTTGTAACATTTGGAGAAAGACTTGACAAAAGTGCATCAAATGAAACTGTGTCCTGTTTCTATTTATGACATGAAACCACTTCTCTGAAGATTCCTGTGGAAGGAATGCAAGCGGACACACACACGCTTGCACGGTGTGGCGTTGACACCCACACCTTTCAGGTTTCAACCTGAAACCTTTCACTTCTTCGTTTCTCACAGATCTTCTCCTTGTCTGAAATTAGGAAGTTATCTGTGAGAAGTTCGCCTCTACCTCCTGGCCCCTTTTCGCTTCTCCATCTCTTTTTCTCTGCGCTCTTCATCCTTCTTTTTTTTCTTTTTCTTTTTTGGACTGATAGCCAAAACTTTACTGGAGTTCACTTAAGCAAAATCACAAAACTGCAGTTTGCATCTGTATGATATAGAAATATAGAATAGATGATTGTAATGGATGTAAAGATGAAGATAGTCAGAGGGGAACTATCTTACTTCTGCATGACATTCAAAATAGTGGTGCAGATTAATTCTATTCCTGTTAACACTGTAGTGCTTATCAGTGAGAAACTGCTGAGACCTGTACCAGTCCACTGCTTGCATGACTACAGTTTCCACTTCATGTTTGTCACAGGTTACATACCTGTTGGCTTTTAAAATGTAAACATTTTAAAAATACCCAAGGCTTCAATTTATGAGTATCAAATTTTAAGAAAACACCTGCTACAGTTTCCAGAAATTTAAGGAGACGTCTTACATTTTCTCATTTTTTCTGGCAAAAACTAAAAAATTGTAGTAACGCAAGTCAAAGAAAAAAATAGCAGAAGCTCGTAATGTGGAGGTTGTAATTCCATCACATTTTGGCATCTTTGCTTGACAAACATTTTAACTGATGAATTGAAAGCAAATGTTGATCTCAAATCAAGGATCAGCTTTCTAAGTATTTCAGCTCAACATCTGCATCCAGCTTTGCATGCATTCTTACAACACAAACGTCATAAAAGCTAATGTGACGATGAAATGAAAACCAGTGAAACTTTGACATTTAAATCCACCTCAACAAATAATTAGCATTTTACTTCTGGAAAAACATTAAAATGACACATTTCTACCAGTAAATTTCCCTTTCTCAGATACATGGATGGAAATTCATAAAAATCAATCTACAGAAATAAAAACAACAACAACAACAAGATGCCAAATGCAAAAACTGGATTTTTCTGCCTCTTTCCAGGATTTTCAAAGAGCCCTAGATGCCTGCTGAAGTTTTGGGTCTCTCCTGGACATTGTCCTGCTCTTTTATCCTCTTCACTACTCTTAGTTAAGTTGCTCTGTGCAGAGACCCCAGCCTGTCCTCGCCACACCACGCATTCCAAACAATCCATTAGACCCGAAGCCCCTCCTCATGTGCCAGTCAGTGCCATGTAAGTGTGTGCTGTGTGCGGTTGCAGCATATGTCTGCGTGTGTAACTTACCAGTTGAGTGTAGCAGAGTGTGTGTGTGTGTGTGTGTATTTTCTCTGTGATGCTGGGGCTGAAGTGCTGCTGCAGTAGCTGCTGCTGTACCTGTGCCTCTCTTCTCTCCCTCCTGCTCGCACTGCAACTCTCCTGACAATGAGCCGCCTGTCCACGGATAGCATTTGAACTGACTTAAGAAAGAGAACAGGAACAATCACTTTGTTCTCATTTTTCAGATGAGTACCTTCGGAGAGAAGGAAGGAAGGGAGGGGAGAGGAAGTCAACAAGCCTAGTGCCTTCCTGCAGAAAAATAAGGAAACACTAGATAGACATCTCTATTTCTCTATGAAATAGGGATTTGCATAGCCTTTGGAGGAATGTGGGGAGGAGGGTGCTGATGTTTCACTTGAAAACAGCACAATTTCTAGGTTTAATAGCTGCAAAGTGACATGTCATGATGGAAGATAGCAATGCTTTCCATTAATCCAGCTCAATGAGATGTATCTTAAAACTGGCTGTTTTCATATTTATAAGCAAATAAGTATCTTTTTTTGTTATAGATAAAATAGAACATTTCTTGAGCTTATGAAATAAATATTGTCAAAGGTTCTTGATTGTTATGTACATGTTCATCACAGATTGCCAGGGAGACACTGCAATGTGTAATATATCACATTACAGGAGAAAAAACATGTGAGACATGATGTGTTTTATTCCCTTTTTTCTTTTTTCTTTTGAAATTGTATTTTTTCATGCATTGTGTGTGTTGCTCTGGTAATCAATTGCAGGATCACCTTAATCAGTTTTCCCATTATTTTCTCCACTTCCCACAAAACACGTGGCAGATGGAAACAGCAGCAATGAAAAATGTACAAATAGATGAAATGCGTCAGCACAGCCACTAGGAGGCAAGAGTGGCCTATCTGTCTACAATGCCACTTTATTGTCCTGTTTGTCATCATATAGCATTTGTAGCTACCTGTCTCTGGTTGTGAAATCTGAGTAAATTAACATCCCACGCGTCTCTGTTGGCACAGAAGTTTTTGAACAATGACGATGTTAGCCGCTTTTTAATTGAGATGAGGTGGCAGTTAGTAAATCAGGAGGGAGCTGCAGTAATTGAGCTCATATCATTGAAACGGTGAAACTGTCTTTTATGAGATGTGGCCAATCATTAGCTGTGTTAATTAGCTCATGAGACCAATTAACCTCGGCCCTGGACAATGTGTGCATCAATTCCTCTGAGGAATTAAGGACTTTATTAATAGAAAGGGAAAATTTCAGGTGTGCATATGTGTGTATATACGTTTGTGGGTATGTGTGTTTCTTGCTTTGTTGTTGAGTTTGTTTACAAGCTCTGCAAGAAGCATTGCTTACCGACATGGTGGCTCAGCAGGCCAGAAATGTTCTGTCAACCTTTAAAACCAGCTTTTTCACTCTCTCCTGACCTCCCAGGGGTAGTAATAAAAAGTTGAATCCTTAAAATTAACTTTTTTTGTTCTTTAAAAAAAAATTAAACTGGTGCTACCCTCTTGTCCCGTCCTGCTTTGAATAATTTCATCGCTGCCTGCTCTTCTTGACCTCTCTGACTTTCCTAACATCTCTAACATGCACGGTCACGCAGCAGGAGCCCTTAACTAATGATCTCCAATAGGAAGAAGCAAACCAGGCCACACAATTACCAGGCCCTTTGACCTGGCCCACACAGTGGTCAGCTTCATCTGCTAAGGTGATTAAAAAGGCCTCATTAAGGATTTCTAAGTGGCTTTTAAGTTTCTGTGTCACTCTCAAAAGGTGCTTTGGAAGTATATAAGACACACCAGCAACACCGTATGAGACAGAGAAGTCAGCAGTCATCCAAGAGCAACCTAAAGAGGAACTTGAGCTAACAAGTGTGTACATTTGCTCTCCGTGAAGCGTGGATTTTGTGGTCAGCCTTACTAAGTGTTTTTTTCTCTGTTTTTCTCTTCCATTCTTAGCAGAAATGACCGGAGCTGCTGTGTCTGTGTGCCTGCTTTTTCTCCTGTCTGTATGTTCAGCGTGTTACATCTCCAACTGCCCTATCGGAGGAAAAAGGTCCATAATGGATGCACCACTGCGCAAGGTAAGCTCAATCAGTCAGTCAATAGGTCTTCAACTTTGCAGCTTTTGAAGCTTCTGACAATATTATTAGCAAACTGGCACATGTTTCTCTTCATTCATTTATTCAGATAATGCAAAGCCTAAAGAGAGATTTAGGTGACATGCATGTGAAAAACTTGGGTCAGGGGCCAAAACCATCAGAAAGAAAATACAAACTGAGAAAGCCTAAAAATGCTTTATAAGGTAGTAAATTATGGTGACGTTCAAAGCAACACCAAAAATAATCATCTGTTTCAACCTCTAGTGCATGTCGTGTGGCCCCGGAGACAGAGGCCGCTGCTTCGGGCCAAGTATCTGCTGCGGGGAAGGTCTTGGTTGCCTGCTCGGCTCCCCGGAAACAGCTCACTGTGTGGAGGAGAACTACCTGCTCACCCCCTGCCAGGCAGGAGGACGACCCTGTGGTTCTGAAGGAGGACGCTGTGCTGCTTCAGGACTCTGCTGTGATGCAGGTCAGAAAATCCTGATGTAAATATAAGCAGTAGTAAAAGGAGTATTTTAGTCCTTTATTGAAGTAATTAATACCACTACTATTTGCAGAATAATCCTGCAAGCTAAAGCAAATCGCAGAGAAGTACTATATTAGCAATATTTGCTTAAAGTACAAGACAGCAAAGTTTATAGTTTAAGCTGATCAGTCAAGCGGATTGTAATTATTATATTTACAGCTGGGTGGCTTGTTCTGTGTAAGCATACATCCTATTTTATAAGCTAATTACATCTGACTTGATAAAGGCACTGTATCTAGAGTAAACAACATGAAGTAAAAAGTATAAATTTTCCTCTAAAATGTAGTGAAGTACAATTATAAAGTGCTATAACATTGAAAAACTTTAGTGAGGGTTATCAGGTACAAGCACTTGATTGATTCATGAAATTGTGCAGTCTCTATTCCGGTCCAAGGTTCAGCATAGCTAAACCTGCAGAAGTCACAGATTCTCTAGTGTAAACATGATGACTTTCATCCAAACCTGAAGTTGTAATCATTGTTGTTTTTTTGTTGTTTTATATAATGTAAGGAATAATGCAAGAATTATAAATCTTATTCCTAATAGAGCTCTGCATGCTTTAGTATACTACTTTGGTCATGATGACCTAATTTACCCTACCCTGCTCTTCAAGGGTCCATGAATACAGGTCACAAAGACTGATAACAACAGATCATAAAGTGTAGACGATGACCATTTTTGGTAATAACTCCTTCTGATTTGTTCTTAACCCTGCCTCAGAGAGCTGCACCACAGATCAATCCTGCCTTATCGAGGAGGAAGGAGATGAACAAACCAGCCAGTTCGATGGCAGCGACCCCGGTGACATCATCCTCAGGCTCCTGCATTTGGCTGGCCACAGTTCTCCTCATCGAGTCCACCAATGAGCTGCTCTTGACGTCAAGGTCTCACTGCAAGCTCTCGAGCTGTGGGGATTAAATGGGACTTGTAGTTCACATAGTTGTGTTTTTATGTTTGTTGTCATGATGCTGGTTTTGCTCTTTTCCCCTGCAGTACTTCTGTAGAGTGCCTTTGTCAATATAGCCTATTTTTATGTATGAAATTAGGGGTGAATACTTGTTGTGGTCATCCTGTTATCTGCATGTTGAAATAAAGTTTGAAGAGAGTATAAAGTGCTGTCGTTTTCCCTGACCTGATTAAGTCTTGTGTGTAAAATTACAGTATTTCAAACCTTCCAAATACTTTTCCTTATAAGACAGTTTGAACCGTATTAGGGCATTGTGTTTGGCAAACAAATATACAAAGCCCACAAGAGTCTTTATCTTTCAGATAATCCTCCAAAGTATCTCTGGCAAATTCAAATGATCCCCACATGATGGTGTGTGTGTGTGTTTTTGTGGCAACTCTGGTGACACAATATCCCTGTTGCAACAGTTGGGACTATTATCTCATAGGCTGTTCACCTTTGATCCAATTTTGTTTCGGTTAACTTTGCAGTCAGTCCACTTTGGTTCTCTGTGTCCTTCTATGGGCATGCATAGAAGGGCACAGAGCATGCAACAAAGCAGTAAACAAATAAACACAGCATGCTGAAGACTTTTGTCTTTTATCTCTCTGCCCGCCCATCTTTTGCGAGCAAGCTGGAAGTAGTGAAGTAGGGACTTTCCTTAATTTCAGGCACCTGAGGTTAAAGATTGATCCGCTGTAGCTTGAGAATATAAAAGAGGCAGATACTCGCCTCTTTCTTTACCTTCACTGCCTGCCAACATGTCTTTCTCTGGAAAATACCAGCTTGAGTCTCGGGAGAACTTCGAGCCTTTCATGAAGGCTATTGGTAAGAGTTGTGCAAAACTAATAAGCTTCCTGCACTGAATGAACTGAAATAACAATTTATCTGACCAATGCTTTCCAAACGTTTTGCTTTCTGCCACAGGTTTGTCTGATGAGATCATTCAGAAAATCAAAGATCTTAAGAGCACCTCTGAGATCGAGGAGAATGGTGACACCTTCAAAGTGACATTCACAACTGGCGCAAATGCCATCGTCAGCAATTTCACTATCGGACAGGAGGCTGAACTACTGTCGCCCACTGGAGAGAAAGTCAAGGTAAGCCAAGATACTTAACTTAAATCTACAGGAAACACAATTATGACAACTAAAACACTTATAATGCATTTGGTCTGCATTAAATGTTATAGTTGATCACTGAGCCTAATCTTCATTTATCATGCTTGTTGAAGGGGGTGGTTCAGCGTGAAGGCAATAAGCTGAAGACCACCCTGAAGAACATTCTGTCTGTCACGGAACTGGTGGATGCAAACACACTCGTTTCAGTAAGTAGTTTTTCTGACTTTCTTTTCTTTAAAGTCTTCCTTGTTGATTAAGTAGCTGGTATTTAATGCATTTTGTTCTTCTCCTTGTAGACACTGACTCTTGGAAACATTGTACACAAGACGACAAGCAAACGCATGTAACTTTCTATACATGATAATAAAAGGAGGGTGAAAAAAAGCAACTGTCTCATGGTTTGACTTGTATGTGTTCAGCAGGCTGTTGTTAAATGCTTCATTTGGGTTTACACTGAACAAGCTCCAGTTCCTCAGCTG